TATAGTTTAGTCTAAATTCTGTTTAAAACTGTTTAATAAAAATGTCCGATAACCTAAAATTTGAATTTAACCTAAGTTGGAAAAAGATTATAAAACCCATCAAAACCTGATTAGACACTGCTAATCATAAAAAGTCGTGATAACAGGAAATTAATACCAAAGTGGTGGGGGCATGTGAGTTAAATAATGATTAAACGGCAATTAGTGGAGCATTAAGACGGCATTGTTGAGACTTCATAGCCGAGACAATAATTGAGCTAACGACAAAGCTAAAGCTTAAAAAACTCACATGAAGAATCTCTTGAATCTTGATTGATAATTAGTTACGTCTTCTTAATTTCATACTATTACTTACAATCGTTTACATATTCACAACCTCTTGGATTTAACCTGTCTTATGAATTTTAGATTTGATATCTATTGATTATATCAAAATTTAGAGTGTAATATATATTTCTTAATCTTTGTTGTTGTGGTATATATAATTTGAAGTGATCTGAACTTGTTTTAGTTAGTTTTTTGTTATATTAGAATATGAAAAGAATCCAAATATTATATTTTTAGCTGTGTAAATTTATGCTCGAAATTTGACTACTATCAAATAATATAGAAGTGTTAGTTTTTGTTACCACCTTAAGCTTATACAATTGTCAACACCAAAATGCATTGGATAACTCGGATTTTTAACGCAACGAACATAACGAAGTATGAACTAATGTGAACTAATATACCATCATCAATGGTATATCAGCTGAATAATATGACAACATTTAATTCACCCAACCCGGGTTCAAATCCCTCTTGAAACAAAAATCACATCTATGTAAGAAGTTTGGGCTTGGGCTTCGGTTCAGGCAGTTTACCTGGTAGTCCGATAACAGGCGATCCGGCTACCCCTTAGCATTAGTCGGAATGTATTTCAAACTCGAGACAGGTAGTATGTTGACCCAAGGATCTCATGGATCTCATTGTCCGTTCGACTCGAGCACGCTTGGAGTTCATGGTGTCCATTGAACCGTTGAACCAATGAAAGGAGAAATCCACACTGTAGCACCTTGGTGCATTCCTACTGGGGCCGACCGGATCAGCTGATAGGATTTATCAAAAAAAAAAAAATATGACAACAGTTTAACAGCTCACCTATGTATTAATATAGGAAACAAAGAGAGAAATATCAACATACATTGAAAGCCCTTACTATAAAAAAAAATATATATATATATCAACATACACACAAAAATTTGTGATGATGTGTTTTATGAAGTGAGTATATATATCATCTGTTTTATTTCTATTTTTTAACTCTAAAATAGAGTAAGATAATACGATTATATATAGAATAACTTCAAAATAAAGTTAAGTTTTATTCCAATATATATTTTTATTTTTTACAATAAAAAGAAGAAATTATCTAAATAAATTTTATTTCTATTTTATTATTAAAATCTTTTATTTCTAAAATTTACAAATAAACCTCATTTATTTTGTTGTTTACAAAACTTTTATAAATTATCAATTATATAATTCAGCATTTATCTTAATTTCAATATCTGTTATGTATTTTTAAGTTTATTTTATTTTGTAATCTTTTCTAATAATAATTATAGTGTCTAAATATTTATAATTATGTTTTGTAATGTTTATAAATATTAAATAGTATAAGCTAAAATTATTTGATATTTAAAAGATCAGTTTGTAAATAAAAAGGTTCAACTCTAAAATATAGTAGAATTTAGGTTCATTCCAAAGATAGCAGAATTTAGATTTAGAAAATGAAGTATGATTAGAAAGTAAACTACTTCAAAATAGTGTTTGGAGTGAAAAATATAGTATGATTGGAAATGTTCTTAGTAATTACGTTTGTGTATCTAAACATGTTTAAAATTAGGAACACTTATCAAATACTATCTTATAAGATTTTTTTAGATTTTTTTCATTAAAATTCTATTAGTTTTTCATAATTAAAAAACATAAATAAAAAATTAAATGATTTTACTTTTTTAGGTTTTCTTATCAGATTTTTTTATATTCTAATTAATTTACGTAATATACAATTATATATATTAAATAATATATTTTCAAATAGATATTATTTGTTAAAGTTTCTTAAACTAATCTAAACCTTAGACCAAATTTGGAGCTCCATCTTCATTTTTTTTTTTATGAATGTTGGGAGTTTCGGAGTTTGGAACATAATTTCTCCCACTACCCAGAATCATCTGTCATAAATCCTTATGTCATAGAGTTAACTTGTTTTCTATCCACAATTTATATTTGTATATAAATCGATACATTGAGAGAATTCTCCAACAACTAATATTTTCTAAACTGATAAAATATCAATCTCGTACGTATAAAGATATACTAATAAGAAATGCCCAAGATTGCATCGTTTACAATTCTTAGGTATCGCGTTTCAAAAAAACAATTCTTAGGTATCTGGACTAAAACAATAAATAACCTTGGTACGCACAATAGTTATAAGTAAATCGTCCAACCTTTCAGGAGCTCTTTCAGGGTCAAACTGATATTAACATTTTAATATTTTTTGCCATAGTTTATCACTCAGAATCTTTGTGGATTTTCGTTGCCAACATTTTAAAATAAAAATCGTTGTGGATTGTCCTTGCCATGATGCTAACTTTTTGTTCCTTAATTATCTATTCTACTATTTAAGTAAAGATAGCCAAAAACTACAATATATTCTAGTATCTCTTTTATCATAAAAAAAAAAAATTATAGTAGTAGATAAGTTCCAGCTTGTAGCTTCTCAGATCAGTGACTACTTCTTGATAATGCACGTAGCGATGTCATAGTACTAAGTACTAACATCATATAATCGAAGAGACAAAACTATCTCACTCTCGGTGCTGTTAACCGGGAAAGTTATCAAACCGTGGCTCAGTCCATTTCAATCTTGAACATACGCGTGTGTATCGAGCCTGGTGCAAACAAATCGTAAGGAAACTTCATAGAGCAACCTACACTTGACTGTATATAAGCAATCACAATATAATCTTGAATTATGTGTAGATGGTCTTGATAATGGCCGTTAAAGAGTGGATTACGTTACTCTTTAGTGGTTTGCAGAGATATATTTTGACAAGCAGTGAGGCTTGGGATATTATAACGAACCGTTTTACCCGGTTTAACCCGACCCGAGAGAAACCCTCCCGCCAAAAGTTTGGCGGTTAAGCTCGCAGGTGGGTCCGTTGGGCTCATAGTTGGGCCGAGAGTACCCCACGGGTAGGCTCGTGAGCCCGTGGACCAAGCTCGAGCGGTACTTAGGCCATTGCTCGAAATGTACGCAAGTTAAGGAATCAAGGCTAAGAAGGGTTCTTGATCAAGATTTAGAAATCACATTACAATTGTGAAATCGTGATTCTCATTGGAAACAAATCAACACAACAATAACACTAAAGTCTTTTCATGATTTGACACCTCAGCTTTTTTAAGCTTTATAAACATAACAAATCAGCAAAAATAATCACCAATCAAAACATTTTATTAATACATCTCATCTACTTATTTTAATTTTTAAACTTAAACCCATTAAAAACCCAAATATTTTTTCTATTAATTTTTATTTTATTTTTTACTAAACCCAAGCCCAAATAATTAATAACAGCAAATAAATTTTTTTTTTTTTTGCCAAATCCAAACCCAAATAATAAAAAAATAATAAGAAATCATTGTTTTCTTTTTTTTTTTGCTAAAACCAAATCCAAATAATAAATAACAACAAATAAATAATAAAAAAAATTCTAGCTATCTGTTTGTTTGACATAGACGTATATGATTGAAAAAGTGTTGGCTCAGCATCAACTATGCTTCCATGACAACAACGCAAAAAGCCTTATGTTATAAGAAGCTCACACATCAGCAAAAATTTGAACCGATAAAACATAACAATTTCTTAGTTTTCGCAGAAAAACACAATTTCACGGGAGATAATGCAATTTTTGGTTTTCGCAGAAAATTGTAGTTTATTTGTTTTTGTAGGAAAGTGTGATTCTGGGCTTGATGAGAAAATGATTTTTTTTTGGCAGGAATAGATGATTTTTCAGTTTTCGCAGGAAAAATAAATTTTTCGATTTTGGCGGGAAAATACAATTTTTTTTTTGCACGAAGATGAAATTTTTTGGGTTTTGTAAAAAAACGTAATTTCTCGGTTTTGGTGAAAAAACACAGGTTCTCGCGGGAAAATGAAATTTTAGGTTTGACGAGAAAATAAATTTTTTGGTTTTGGCGGGAATAGCCGATTTCTCAGTTTAATGGGAAAATGAAGATTTTTTTTGTTTTGACGGGAAATACGATTTCTCGATTTTTGTAAGAAGATGAAATTTCTCTGTGCTAAATTTTCAAGTTAAAGTATGTTTACAGTAACCAAAATTAAATTATTTAACTTTAACTAAAATGATATTTTAAGAGTTCAAACATAATTTTTTATTTAGTTCTAAAGCAATAGCAATGGTTTTGATATGAATAAAATTGATTATAGTTTGGTAGTTTTGGAAACATATGTTTATAATAAAATATTTAATAAATAAATAAATTTTATAATTTAAAATAATTATATTAATTAATAAATCTTTTTAAATTGCATTTTGCTTTATATAATTACAAAGGAGGATCATGTGGTAATTTATTGGAGAAAATAGATTACATTTGCCATTAACATGAAGATACTAAAAATGTATTGCTTTATTTTTATATATTTTATTCTTATATATACATTTATAATTAGTTAGCTAACTAAATTTAATAGCAAATTATAATTTTGAAAAAAAAAATATATATATATATATAATGTTTATTCAGATTTAAAACATATAAATACATAACTTAAGCTAAAAAAATATAATACTCATTTATATTATAAAAATAATTTTTTTATATTAAAAATATATACAAAATTTAGAAAAATATCTAGCAAGATAGCACGGGTAAATACCTAGTGCCAATAACAACTGAAGTCGAGTAATAGAGAAGATAACAAGTAAAGCTTAAGGATCCATTCACTGTTGGTAATTATTTGTGGAAGACCTTAAAGTCTTCCAGGCAAAAAGCAAAGAACTGAAAATAAGAAATCAGTAGGATCAAACATATAAGAACATTATTGCAAACTGCAACTTTGAGTTTGATACGAAAATTAAGATGACATTAATGGAGGATGATACATGTAATAATAATACACTATTCATCTAAAAATCCAGATCTAGAGACAAAGGACTCTAACTCTTTAGCTTTTTCATCAGTGAAACCTAGAGTTGCTAGTATCTTGTGACCTGGAGATTCAACTTCCGACCAGATCCCCAGCAGTATATGGGCTGGCATTATTTCCCCAATACCACCTGTAACAATAAAGCAGTGAAACTATGTTGCGTAAGGTTCTGTCTTTAAACTGAATTATGCATATGCACAAATATAAAATGTTTATAAACAAAGATTTCTTTTTTCTGCAAGACAAGACATGAAAACTTCCGAGTATGTTCAATCATTAACACACATTCATCTCTCAATCGATATAATGTTGCTCTCAAGACGAAAAATATGAGATTCACAACGTTATGAAGTTATGTTAGAACGGAGACAAACCTGCTTTGAGATTAAAATTCACAGCTGAGTCAAGTGCTCTTTGAGCATCTTCGGTTAGAGGAGGATGTTCCGGGCTGAAGAAATACAAGTCTGCCTTTCCTAGTAACTTGATTGTCTCTTCACGAACTTTGTAAAGCGTTATCTTATTCGACCGCAAGAACTTCGAAGTAAAACTAGTTCCTGGCCCATCAAAATTTAACACTTTAATCTTATTCAAATATCACTACCAAGAATTGTCCAAGATCCTCAGCAAAAACTTAAAGAAACAGAGCTTTGTATCATAAAAAACTACAAACTACATTACAGTTTGTTTGCAATAAACCAATATCACTAACAAGATCCTAATGGAGCTTTGTATCATCTCGATGAGTAACACGAACAACGTTTAGTTTGATTGCAAATAGACCAAAAGTAAGTACTACCTTCAATCAAAATACCCATGAGAAGTGCTTCAGTTCCAGTATTTGGATACTTGAGCTTCCTAGCTTCAAGCTCTCCCATGGCAAATGATTTGATTCCTCTCCATGACCATCTACATTTACATTTACCCTCAAATTTCTTAAAAACCCTAAAAATCAACCTCAGGAACTTCAAAAGCATTTCAATCCTCACTAACTTATAGGTCTAAGAACAACACTTACTTGGGTTTTTTCGCATCAGAAACCGCAGATTCCGGATTCCTGAAATCAAAATCGAACACATAATCTTATAATTTAGCCGAGGGTACACGATAAAGAAAAAAAAGGTAAAAATTGATCAATAATCAACCAAAATTCGAGAAAACTGACGCAGTGGGTAAGCTGGAAACGACGGCGATTGGGATGCGTCGGCGAGTGATTGAATTAGTTCGTAGGACGGAGGCGGAAGAATCGAGAGAGATCGAAGAATCAACGCCCAGCCATGGATTCGTCAGATTCAGGGATTTTACAGGGTTTCTCGTAGGGATAAAGTATAATGGAGAAGATAGTTTCTGTTTAGAGAAAGAATCGATTTGTAAGATCATTGGATTCGCCGAAGTAAATTTGCAACAAAATTGAGCAGCCATTTCTGTATGGACCGAAAATGTGTTTGGATAACGGGAAAAATGAAAGAACGTCTACATTGGGAGGGGAAGAAGAGATTCCTGATGGATGAAGACACCATTGAAACGATGCCGTTTCAGATTCCCATTTTATAATTTGAATTTCTTGACGTTTGAAAGCCCAAAAAGAGAATGAAACTTTCTTCTATGGGTTTAAAGTTTAAAATAAGCCCAATACGGCCTATTTAGTAGAGCATATGTTAGAGGTGATTTTTTTGTTGTCTAAACTCCACCTAAGTGTAAACTGTAAACAAATGTAACCCATCAACGACAATTGTTTTTCTTATTTTATATTTTCAAGACAAATTCTAGAAAAAATATAGCCCGAACACATTCAACCAAACAAATTCATAAAAGAAGTTTGAACAATTGCAACAATACTCGTGAAAATATTAATATTGCAAATGAAATCCAAATGTGGGTTACTTAAGAAGAAAATGAATGCTTAAACCTAAAATTATTTTCTCCTATATTTTCACATACTAATGTGTTTCATGTTTTCCCTTTGTCCTTTAAAATCCTTCACTTTATTTTCTAATAAGTCAACGTTTAGAAAGACAAAGCATGAGAAAAGTTCATCTTCTCTTTGTATCTTAATCTCCGTCGTCGCATGAGAATAAAGAGTCTTATTTTCATACGTGATCTGGTAGTGAGAAATGAGAAAATAAAGAAAAAACAAAAAGTGATATCTTAATGCTAACAAAAAGTGATATCATAATGCTAACATTGAAATATTTCAACATTTTCAAAATTTACAGTACACAAAAGGACAAATGAATTTTGCTGTCGTCACTCACCTACATAATCATAAGATCTGTTGATATTATTTTATTCCTAATAATAAACTTGTTTAATGTTTATAACATAAAATATATTATCACAATGACAATTTTATAGACGATTTTTTCCCTGACACACGAATCTACGAAATATGGTTTACTTGAACCAATATTTACACAACTTATGAGTTTTTTTCGTATCACATAATGACATAAAATCGAACGGATTTAAGTGCAGTAAATCGAAATTAATTCATTTTGCATCTACAATTTGCAAACTGTAAGACTTTTTGTATTCACCAATGATTGGGCACGAAATCTTGTATAAATTACTCGACCAGTTCCACAAAATAAATTGATTTTAAAAGTCTATATCTTTGACAAGTGGTGTTTTGTAAGATTTTACTTATCCTAATAAAGAATAAAATCTCAAGCCAAGTACGACTTTGTATAGTCTCTCAAAGATTCCGTGTCTCGAATCAGCTTCCAAGAAAATTTAGAAACTCTCTCTCTCTCTCTCTCTTTCTCTCTCTCGTGCAAGATAGATTCAGAACATAAAGAATCCAAACCGGAGGATAATAATCGCCTATGGATCGTACCCACCAACCCGAATCCACGACCCGACCCGGAAACACCGTCGTTCTCTCCATCGACTGTCTCAAAGGAAGCTCCAAAAGCGAAGAATGGAGTGGCGATATGCTTCAAACCGGAGACATAGTGGAAGAGATCCGACTCGGGTCAGGACCCGGTTCGGCTATTTTCAAAGCTCCGTTTAAAGGAGGTAAAGTTTGGCTTCAGAAGGTTCTGCACAATTCTTTTAGGAACAAAGAAACTTCTATTGTTGTCCGAGTCAGACGTGGCTCCGATGACTTCTCCGATCTGTCTGCTTGTATTGTTCCTAATGAATCCGCCGGTAAGAGACAGTACATGCTCAGATCCATTGATGACCCGAATTATACAGTTGGGTTCTCGGATCGGACTGAGTCGGATTGCCTCGGTATACAAGGTGAGTTAACTCGGTCGGTTAAATATCTTTTGTATTTTTTTGTTCTTTTGTTGACTTTTCTGGTTTAATTGCTGATTTTTGCCTTTGCAATTTGCATCATATCGTGCTTCTTGGTTAGTTGGTGGATTTCAATTAATGCTGTTTTTTATTAGTACGAAAATTTTCTCTTGGATCAAAATTGTACGAATTTTATTGTTGATCAAGAAACAGAGCTACTCGTTTTGAATTTTCATACTAGCTAATCTTTTTTTGAACTTCTAAATAAATGACTTTTTGTGAACGTTTCTTCAGAAGATATCTTAGTATTTTTTTTTTGGTCCAAATATATCTTAGTATTTTGACTTACAATTAGTAAATATACACATTTTATTATTATTATTTAGTCAATGATTATTAACTACGAATGTTTCTTCCGGGACATCAGATAGAAAGAGACACTTTCTATGTATTTTTAAGTTGTATGTTTTGGAATTTTCACACATCTAAGAAGTCGTTTTTAGTACTAAATCTAACCTTTATTATATTACTCTCTAATTTACAGAATCGGGTGGAGTAGTATTTCCGTATTTAACATAAATCTTACATGGGAATATTATACAAAAATAAGAATGTTGTTGAAATGATATGCAGCTTCAAGAGGATCAAGAATGGTGGAAGCATTGGTGAGAGCAAAGCTTCAAGATGGTTTCGTTTCATATCCATGGGAAAAACGAATGCAAGAAGCTTTACCAATCTCTGGCTCCAGCAATTTCCTCTCCATTCTTTTTCTTCCCAAAGCTTCTGGTAATAAAACAATATATTTAAATTGTTAACCATAGATTCTTTCAATTAAACTCTCTCTATTTATATGTATGAATATTAACAATTTTTTAAAAAACAAATTTAGCTTATGGAAGAGCGGGTTCTCGGTACAATGACTTGGAAGACACGCTTGCTCGTGCAAATGCTTGGCTAAGTTGTTCACAAGCTAACGGAGTTCCAATCGTCTTTATGAACATTCAGACTGAATCTTTGCTTACTAAGGTCAGTGATTTTTTAGTTTGTTTAATATTGTTAGAAATTTTGAATATGCAAATGTTGATTGTTTTGTTTTTACATGGTAAAAGATATCGGGAGAAACAGCATCAGCGACAGTTAATACGACATCGCTTTCGGATCTGTCCAATCTTGCGAACGCGAGTCTCTATGGGTTTGAGGATTATCATGGAGTTGATATTGGTGTTGTGAGAGCGGTTCGGCTCTGGTACGCTCCTCTTGGCGTTGAGTGTCCACTCGAAATCAAACTTAGAGATGATGATACCAAACTTGGGTTCTCCATTAGCCGTACTGAAGAGGTAAAATACTTTCTTGAAATTATATATATCTTAGGGACTTCATTCAATTTTTTTTGTAACAATTAGATATATCATATATCCTTCCACACACATAGGATTTTGTTTCACAACAAAAAGTTTATAGAGTTTTATTAAGGGAGATTGAAAATAGCTATTGTATTAGCATATCAATTAGAAAAAGACCAAATGTTATGAAACAAAAAAAAAAGTGAACTCCAAAACATAAAAAAAAATCCAAAATTTATGAAACTATGCAATAATTAACTATATACATTCATTAGTTGTAAGAATATCCTAAACTGATGATATATTCATTGTTTGTTTTTTTGTCAAATTTTGTTACATTGATATATTCATTTGCAATTATAGATACATTTCAGAACATAACCATAAGTTAAAAGAATTTTTTTATTCAGATTTCAGTTTTTCGTCCCGAGTTTAAAAAGAAATGAAATAGGACAAGATTTTATTACCTTTAGTTTCAACCTCTGAAAATTTTGGAATTGAAATATTTCTTCGAACAGGGTTTCATTTACGTCTCCTCAGTGACGGACCACGACGACGAGAGTGCACCAGCTGCAAGATCAGGCCTAAGCTCACTGTACAGAGACGCAGCCAATGCGTCGCGTCGTCTGGTTGTGTCACGTGTCGGCAGCCAAAAGGTATTGCCTTGGATGGTTTCCTCAACAGGAGCAATCCGCTGCTACGACACCGTTTCACTCAGCCAGAAACTGTCACTGCACCGTCACGCCAAGGTCTCCATCATCCTCCACGTCATTCTATGGGATTCCTCCGCCACCGCAGCTTTCTCTTCACCGCCCAGGAGCAGCATTGGTGGTACGCACTTGTTGTTTAGTAACGAAACGCTCGATTCGACGGAGTTTCCACGGCGTGGTGAGGTTTTGCCACCGCGACAGGTCGGTGACAGACAAGTGATGCCATTGCCTGATGACGAAGATGTGTTCAGGTTTGAAAGAGAGAATGCTGGTAACGCTTCGTTTAAGTTCCAAGAGATCCCTTTTACTAACGAGTCTTTGTGAGTTGTGATATACTCTTTGTTGTTTTTTTCTTCTTCTTGTGTTATATTTTTGGGTATGTGTACTATTTCATACGTGCATGTAAATAATTGAAACACGCAAGAGATTAACTAGGTTTAGTTATGTTTAGTTTTGTTCCCGTGATGCTTGTTTCTTTTCTTTCTAATGGAAGTTTTTTTTCTGGATTTTTGATTCTGGACGATGAGAGAGATGCAATAATTTAACTTGTTAAAATTTAAAAACAAAACTTTTAAAAACTTTTCTTATTCCCTCCCTTTCAAAATAAATATTATTTTAACACTTTATTTTTTTAATAAAAAATGTCATTTCGATTTTCAATGCAATTTTTAAAACTAAGGTTTTAACTGGTGACCAATAAAAAAATAATAGGAATGAAAAAGAAAAGAATGAAAGGAACAAAAAAAGGCTTCAACTGGTAACTAAGGGAATGAGAAGGAATAATGAATTCCTATTCATTCCTTAAAATTTTTACTATTTGCTAATAATAATATTTCCCTATTATTTCTTCTTATTCCTTATCATATAAGGAATTATAGAACAAATAGATTCTTTATTAAAATTAGGGAAGAACAAAAAATATATTTTTTTTCTTTATATATTTTTTTATTCCTATTCATTCTTTTTTTTGTTCATTTCATTTTTTTCTTTTTTATTCCTATTCTTTTTTTTATTGATTACCAGTTAAAACCTAAATCTCAGTTTTATTCCTGTTATTTTAGCTTAAAGTTTAGTTATATATAATTTTGTTCCCGTGATGCTTGTTTCTTTTCTTTCGAACGGAAGGTTTTTTTTTTGGATTTTTAATTCTGGACGATGAGAGAGATGCAATAATCTAAGAACAAAACTTTTAAAAAGTTTACTTATTATTGAACCTTGAGTCGAGAAGTATTAGAAATCAAAGTTCACAATAAGAAAA